GAGGCGAATCGGTGCCCGGCCCCTTCCCCCGCCCCGGGGCCGGCCCGGTGCACCGGGAGCCCCGGCAGCGGCGAGGTGCGGGGGGCCCCTCCGGCCTCCGCCCGGGCTGGGGAGGGGGCAGAGCAGCGAGGAAGACAAAACCCTTCAGCCCCACCGCAGTCACCTCTCGCTCCAGCGGGTCCTGGGGCTCCCTGAGCCACGACCAGAGCCCTGCTCTGCCGTCCACAGGGTCTGCTGGTGCCTGACGGTGGCACCCTGATGCCCCAAATCCCTCATGGGATCTGGCACCCACCGGGCAAGCGGTGCCCTGGAAATGGGTGGCAATGCACCAGGTGGAAAGGGCAGCGCGTGGGCCTGTCCAGCGCGACAGGGGACGTGGTGGCCACCGGTCCCTTTGGCCACAGCCTGGAGCTCGAGACCAGCAGGGATGGAGTAGGACCAAGGTTGCACCCAAAGGTCAGCTTGGGCACGCAAGTAATCTGCAGAGGGGCTTAGAGTCAAATCCAGCCTACCAAAGCCCTGGTTTAACTGCAAGCGACCTCATCCTGTCTTCTTGCCGGGAGAGAAGCGGGCATCGGCTCTGCTCAGGGGAAATGTCGCACACTGCCCCTCGACCGGCATTGCAGGGCACCCACGGAGGGTCAAACCCAGCGCGGTACCCTGCCCTGCGTTTCCCATGCTACACCACAGCTTCGCTCCAAAAAGCCCCAAAGAGAAGTGACATTTAGGAAGGATTAGGAATAACAAAAGGGAGGTTTCTAGAAGAAGGAAAATGGGGAAGAAAGAGCTGATTGCAAATAACAGGAAAGAGAAGCAGAGATGGAGGCCAGGTTCATGTCTCTGCGGGGAGATTCTCCAGAGCTCTTCTGGCAAGAGGCAGGGAGTGATTCCCGGAGCTCTTTGCTCTTCTGCAGCGAGGGAAAACAGGGATTTCATCGTCCCGCTCACTGCAGCCGCCTGACCCTTGCAGGGCGAACCCCGGCCTGGTGGGAAGGGCTGGATTTTGGATCCCCTTTGCCTGACGATTTGCAGCTCCCGGAGGATGGGGGAGCGCGGGGAGTCCCACAGCAGGCAGTGAGGCCAGGGAAAGGCCGAGCATGTCCCGCAGTGGGGACGGAGCTGGGGACAAAGTTGCAGAGAACGGGAGGGAAGGCCCCAGTCCCTCTGGCATCTCATCCCTGCTCGTAGAGGCCAGCTTCCCATGAGAGCACAACGCAGGCACGAGAGCCGCCCGTGCCCCTTGCTCCTGTCCCCTGCGGCAGGCAGCCCTCGCACGGGGTCCCGCCGCAGCAGCAAAGGCGTGACGGATCAAGGGTGCCAAACTCCCAATTCCCTTTCCACCATCTCCTTTTCCTCCCTTCTTTTTCTTCTTGCCTGGAGAAGAGGCCAGGAAAATGCAGGTTTGCGTCCAACTAGACAGAGCCGGGCCAAGCCTCCAGCCAAAGTCAGCGCCGCCGGAGCATGCGGACCCCCTAAACCGCTCATCTGCAACCCGACGGTTCCTTTCCCTTGCTTCACCCGGAGTGTAGTGCTCCCAGCCAGCAGCTCACGGAGACAAAATACACATGGCCATCAGGAAGAAATACCTTGCTAAGCCCCAGCGAGTGCTGGGGTGCCCTGGCTCATGTCTCCGGTTCGGGGAGGGCCAGGGTGGACCCACCATGCGAGGTCCCTCATGGATCTCCCTGAGCCAGTGGCTTCCTGGGACCTGACACAGGCCTTGGGGCTGGGAAACGGGGAAGGGGCACAGGCCGGTGCAAAGCGTCCACCCAGGCCATTGATCTGGGAACAGCAAGGAGGGAAAGGGGATGTAGAGCAAGAAGCTGCCCCAGACGGAAAAAAGGGGCATCTGGCCACTTCGCGTCACAGCATGGGAAGGACATACAAGCAAAATAAACCGTCGCTGCCCCTCATCATCCTCTGATGCTTCATAGCTATATTTACCTGGGTGGTGTTGGAGGGGAACGGGAGGAATTGGGGGATTCCTGAAGGGTCCCAGCAGGGCTGGCACTGTGTGAGCCCCCCCCACCAGGCACCTCAAGAGACTCCTTGGGGCAACGAGGGGGCCTGGCCCCAGCAAAGCACCTGTAGGGGCAGCCCACGGCAGACCTGCGGCAGCGGGGTGGGGTCTCAAAGCCCACCCTACCCCTGCAGCTCCCACCTCGCGGCGGGGGAGAGCCCCCCCAAACCTTCTCTCCTCCCTGCCCCGGGCCAAGAGAGGGTCCCTCCAGGCAGGAGCAGGGGCTGGGGCACGGGCTGTCTTTCTTAGGGTGGCCCTGCCACCTCCTGGCCAGCGTGGGGACTGCCAGCCGGGCCGGTGGCACCTCCATCCCACCCCCTCCGAGCTGCTCTGGGACCCACCGCCC